GTGACTAATTGGGGTTTATGAGACCCCGCTAAAATAAATTTGTAATTTTTTAAGTTTTTTAAAATATGAAAAATAAATATATGTTTAGAACACATTAATGTTTTATGTAATAAATGTTTTGCATGTCAAATTTATTTAACATATATGTTTATATTTTTTTATGTTTAAATGTATTAGTGTAATTTATTTTTATATTGAAGAAAAGATCCATATTAATTATCATGATTATACGATGGATAAGTTATTTTTTTAATTTTATATTTGAAATTTAAAAAAAGTTTTATTTATCTATGAGCAATTATAATATGAATACATATTTTGAAAAAAAATTATCTATAATAATAATCGTTATAAGCTATAATAAATAAAACTGAAAATCTTATATTCTACTATAACATAAAGCCAAATTAGTATATATTAAATAATAAACTTAGAAAATTTATTAATAAATTACATAAAATATTAATAAAAATTAATTAATTTTTAAAATATTTTTATATTAATATTTAACTTATATATAATATATTATTATTTTGAATTGAATTACCCCTATTCATTGGTTTCGCTATAATAAATATTTAAATAAATAAAAAATTATCTTTCAATAATCATGATATAGGATTGGCAGTTTTTAATGCTGCTTTGATTCTCAAGTAAAAAATAAATTCCAAATATTATCTTCCAAATAGGTGCGATAAATATTATTATTGAATTATCCCTATCCATTGGATTCGTCACTATAATAAATATTTAAATAATTATCTTTCAATAATCATCATATATTGACAGTTTTTTATGCTGCTTTGATTCTCAAGTAAATTATAAATTGCAATTATTATCTTTCCAATAGGCGCGATTATTTTATTGCATCAAATAACTTATTTAAAAAAATCTCAATTAAGATCGAAACATTAATTATTTTTACTCTTCAATTTAAACACGAGCAAACCAAGTTTGTTAACACAACAATACTATAGCTTTCTATGCAAATTTAATGATTGCATATGAATTAAGGACAGCGTTGCATTGATGCAACTTACAAATACGGTCTTTTTATTTTTATCATATTTGAACAATGTATAATATTATTTTACAATTTTTGGTTTAGGAGAAAGAAAGGATGTGTATATAATATATATATTGTTTAAAATTATATATCTTAATATAAATAAATTCACTCTATATTAAGATTAGATAATTTGATTGATCCTTAAAATTATATGCATTGACTACTTATAATCTTTTGTTGATGAAGATTGGGGTGATCTTATTTATATCGTCAAATGGCTATCAGATTAGATTTAGAGAAATAGCTATGACATTTGAATAAAAATTGGAAAGGAAAATTATGATAATATTAAAAAATTTCAATGATATGGAAGAAAACTTTCAAAAAATATAATTTCCCTCTTTAAATTCAAATAACGCATTCAGTAGATTTTTGAAAATCAAATATAAAACACACAATGATGTCTAAATAAATTAAAGGATAATCTACCCTAAATAATTTAAGAGATTTATGATATATGCGTCCAGTGCATGATTAAAATTTATTAGAATTGGTAGGAAAATAAATATACTTGATACAAACTTATTATATTGGAAATATTTTACATTTCAATCGAATAAGATATATAGCCATGCCTAATAATTTCTTTCATATTTGCGATTGATAATTTGATCATATTAATCATAAAAATTGAGGATGAGATAAATTTTCCAAAAAAATAAATAGAAATGATTCTCAATATGCAAAATATTAATTTTTTAATTGAAAATGATAATCTCAATAAAATATAAATTATAATATAATGTTGTTAATTATTATTCAATATAATAATTTAACAAGATAACTCACCAGTCATATTTAGAGAAAAAAAAATTAAGTTAGGTAATGATTTTTTATACAAATATTAAAACATTAAATTAAAACATTTACTTTTGCTATTATGGATGTGATTCCGGTTTTGTGTGAAAGTAGGGGTTTATTTATTTTTTGCTAAAAATTGAGTAAATTGATAATAATATGTCGAAATTGCCACCTAAATGATTATTTTGAAGTTCTGCCTTACCACATCCTCAGTGGAGTTAACTTAGAATCTTAAAATATCAATTTTTATTTTTTATTATAAATTATATTTATTAAATAAATCAAATTTAGTATAACTGTAAAAAAAATGTAATATTTAAATTCATCATTCGATCATGTCATAAAATCTGAATTACAATAAACTGATAATAAGCTTCAAAAAAATAAAAGTCATTTTTACATCTATTTTTCTTAAAGCATTGAAATCGACTAGATATTTTTCTATAAAGATTATCATGAATGAACAGGTCTAAAATGGTAGCTTTAAAGAAGTATTGATGAATATATGTTTTGATCTGTTTATTCTAGAATTTAATTATAATAAAATATCAATTTGTTTCATATTTATATTATAATTTTATAATAATTATAATTATGTTTTAGTACCTTTGCTATTTTTATTCTCTGGATTTTAAATAAATGAGAATGGATTACGATTAAATTAAAAAATATTATTAATTAGTTAATCAAGATTAATTATTTATTTGTTCTATGATAAATAATATACATTTGGGTTAAGGTCTGATCGTATTTGTTATTATATTATTGGGTGATTTTTTCAATCTTATTTTGAAAGTGGCTATAAGCGAAATTTAATTGAGCAAGACCAAAAATTGAAAATAAACCAAAATAATATACACGAAATTATTAATAATGGGATCTAGCATTACATTGCCTCCTAAACAAAATTATCTAATCTGTATTTAATATAATTCCGAATTAGAATATAAAATAAATAATATCGAGATCCAGCTAAAGGTCTACATTTTTTATCCATTGAGAATTAATTCAAATCTTTAAAGAAAATATAAATCATGTTTAGCTTATAGATTATAATTAATAATATTGTAGTTATCAAATAAAGATGTTTTAAGTATTTACTTGGAAGAGCTGAACCTATTTTTTTTATTAAATATTAAATACGATTAGTAGAATATATAACAACAAAAATAGATTAGAATTTGATATATAAAAGAAATGATAAATATAGAGCTAAGATTTTAATAATCCGATAAAGAGAGATTCTAATTTAAATCTTATAATGAATCTAGGCTGGGTTTTATTATTTTTTTTCCCGAATTGAAATATAATAAACTAATTTTGTTTCATCTTATAAACTAACGAATATCCTATATGAGCTTATAATTTATAAGGTTGAAAGCCCCAATTTTTATATTTTATAATCTAATGATTTAGTAATCAGAGACCTGCAGAGGTAATATTTGTATGGCCCGGCCCGCATATTTTTTTTAAAATTATTTTCGGCCCAGCCTGGCGGGTTATTTTACCCGGCCCGGCTTTTTAATTTTTATTAATTTTTTGATTTTTATCACTAATAATAGTGATTTCACATATTTGGTTTTAAAATATATGGCCCGGCCCGGATATTCTTTTTTAAAATTTTCAGGCCCGTTCCGCGCGTATAAAATACGGCCCGGCCCGTGCACAAGTCGCGTCTTAGGGCCGGGCCTGCCATCTCTGCTAATAATACAATTAGTTTGATTATAAATCATAAATAAACTTTTTAGCAAAAGAGGCAAAACATCCGCCATGTATAATTTTTATTTACCTATCATTTATTTATTTTTTTAAAAAAAATATTAACTGATGATTTGACTTGATATTACAATTTAAAATATTGTTATTTTTTATATCCAATTTATTTGTAAAAAAAAGATTTTTTTTTTATCAAAATAGATTAAATTTTCAAGAAATTCGCTAGTTAATATTTGCGTAAGATAGCAACTTTTGTTATTTTTTTTTCTTTAAAAAAAGATATAAACATTTTTATTTGAGCTTAAATAAATTTAATTATTTTTTATAAAATGAAAATAATTATCATATTTTTTATTATTCTTATCTCTTCGCTGTAGCGTCATAATAGGTAAGGGAGGCGCAGGGGCTTGAGCTCCAGAAAATTTTGAAATTATTTTTTATACGATATCAGCTTAAAAAAAGGCTCATTTTAAAAATAATTTTTTGAGCTACCTGAGATTGTAAAGGCTTGTGATGCCATTTTAATCGTAATTTTAAGAAAATTGATTTTTAGAATATCGGCACACTAGGAACTTTTACAAGTTTAACAAACACAGGGTTTAAAATATTTCTTTTTATATTAAATAAATTTATTTTAAACTATAAAAACAAACATAATAAATAAATTATTATTCACATTTATGAGTAATATTGTAACTTTCCTTTAATTATAGTTTGCTTAAAATATATGAAGCAGTTATATAACCCCAATGTTTAAACATATATCATATAAATTTTTCGGATGTATTATTATTGACCCATTATATTGTTTTCCGACTCATTAATTAATATAATCTAAAATTTGATATGGATTTCTAGTTTATTTACATTTTATAAACTTGGCCCAGATTTTTAAAAATTTTATTATTCAACGACCCGATTTTGGTCGTCTAATAAAAGAACCTGTCCAGATCGGTATATAATATATCAGATCTATAGAAATAAAACTATAATTTAATACTATTAATAATAATTAAACAGTTTAAATTTTTGTGTCACAACAAGGAAAAAATTGCTCGTAAATAATCATTAAGCTAGTAAAAAATTTCCAACTTACACACTCCCATCCCGTTTTACCTCAAATATAATATATCATTCATTATAAGGTAGAAATTGAAACGAATAATTTGTTAAAGTTATTAACTTATTAAAAAAAAGGACCATGATTTAAAATTATCAGAGAAAAAGGTGAAAACATAAAATTATTTTTATAAAAATAAAGATATAATATACCCAAAGGTTTTTAATATCTCTAATAAAATTTATAAGGATTAAATACCAACCTTATTCTCCTCACCTCCTTAGCAAAATCCTGGATATGCTTATGATGTATTATATATAATAAATTAATAGTAAAATCAAAAACTTTTCTTACCATCAATTTGATAAATAGTTAGGCTCAGGGTGAATATGAATATGAATAAAATTAAAAGATTCATGTCTTATTTTAATTTTAAGCTAATTATTATGATCAAATGGGTAATATATTTTAATTAAAATGTATATCAAATTTTTAAGTCTTTTTCTAAATTTCAAAATTAAATTTTTTTTGAGCTCGCTTTATTTTATAATATTATAATAAGTTTAGTTGGCTTTTTTAATATAATTTTTTTTATTATAGCTATATTCACCATCGAGGTAAATATAAATAATATCATAAAATTCATTTCTTAGATATTAAATTTTATAATACTTATTTTATCAAATGTCTAATATTATAAATTAAAATTGATATTAAATTATTAAATATTTTTAAAATTCTAAATATATTATATTGTGATCTATATTTATAATATTACTAGCATGTGAAATTTCTACTTGATGGATGAATCAGAAAACTACCTTTATTTTGATGTTATTAGATTCTTTAATTTCTTAACAACATATTAGGTCCTTCAATATGAACAAATATTTGTTACATAATGACCATTATCAAATATAGGAGAAAATTCTAATTCCCCATCTTTCTTGAAGGGCATTAAATGTAATAGAAACTAAAATGACTAAGTGCGACGAAAGCATCGCGTACTATTCAGAGGTGTTTTTATGTTTATATTTAGAATATAGTCATTTATTGTTTTATGATTAGAAAATAAGATACTTGAAATTAAAAGCAACTTGTGAGAAATATATGATATTTCTGATAGGCATAAATTGATTTTTGTTAAACATGGACATCTTTATTGGGATTAATTTATTTTCCAAAAGTGATAAAAAATTACCGCCTTTTACTTATAACATAATCATTCAGCCTTTAAAATTCTAATGATGAATAGTCATAAATCTTAAAATTTTATAAAAACTCGATATTTAACTATTCAAAGTTCAACTTTTTTCAATGTGTAAAATTTTTTTAAAAAATAAAATTACGACTAAATTTATTAATAATTATTTTAATGTAATATCAAATTAAATTGTTAAGAGTTCTTAGTGTTTATAAAATAACATGCAAGTTGATGAGATAAAATAAGCTCACAGGATTTTAAAATTATTCATAATATTAAAATAACGATTTATAAGTTATTAATTTGACAAAAAAAACTTTTCCTTTATAAAATGTAATTGTGATGATCGCACTTAATCCAACTTTTTAAAATTTTAATTGTTGAAAATCCCACAAACACACTATTAGAATAATGGCAGGTCTATGGCTGGACCTAATAAATTTAAACAATAATAAGTCTTCTAATTAATCTCAGATTTAAAATTATAGTCATTTAGAATATTTTTTTTATTATCCATTATTTATATACTTTTGCCAAAATTTGTATAATTTTTTCATGCCCTCCCCACTCTCGTTGTCAACAAGATCTGAGGAATAGTGTGACAATTTAGCGCTCAATTTTTTGAATAGTCTTTTATTTGATGGATGCCTATATAAAGCTTTTATGCTAAAAAGAACAAATATAGGCCTGTTCCTCCATCCAACAAAATAAAGTGTAAAATATTTTATAGTAAATAAATAATCGATATCAATTAATCGTAGAGTATGTAGGAATTTTGGTACAACTATAATTTTGACAGGTGGAATATTGTGGAGAAGATAAGTTTAAGTAATGGAAGTTTATTTAGATATTGAATTGTCTATATTAATTTGTTTAAATCGTGATAACTTCAGAACTACCTCCTAGCGATTATTCCATATGGTAAACTTTCAAGATTTGATTAAAGGATATTCATTGTGAAAGGAAATAAAAAATTAAAATTTTTGTTTAGCATATTTAGCAATTGTCTACGATTTTTTTAAAAAAAAGATAGGTGAACAAATTCTAAGCGTATAGAATATTTTATAAAAATTATTTATTAATGGCATATTATATAAATGTCACATTTAAGTTAACTCTTGTTAATTTATTAGACAATAAGTAACGAATTATTTAAGAATTTATGTGGGTAAATCATTATGAATATGTTGTTTTTCATTTGATTAATGCATCACAATATATTCATTGTTTTACCGTAAATGCTCTGCATACATTCGCGATAAAAAATCTCCCTACAATGGGTTCGCCGTTAAAGTTTAGCTAAAATTGGTTTAAGATAAAAGTTTCGCTAAAATCTATTTGCTCGAGAGTGTTCGCTGAGTTTTGCAGAAATAAATTTGCTGTAAAAGGTTCGCGAAATTGTCTTCACTGAATATTTCGTGGTAAAAATTCTAGCGAGTAATGACATTTCTTTATAAAGGTTTCGATAAAATTTGTTTCGCAATAAATGTTTTAAATACTGGGTTGGTTGCTTATCCACTTAAAATTTCTATTATGCAAAACATAGGTCACGTAAATTCTAAACAACAAAGCTAGGGGTCTAGTCTAGACGATATTCCAATAGAAAGCTTTAAAGCACTAGGAGATGATGGAATACATCTCCTCACAAATCTGTACAATAAAATACTTGGAAATGAAGAAGTTCTCCAAAAATGGAGACAGAGCTATCTAGTTCCTATCTTCAAGAATAACGGGGATCCTCACAATTATTAAATTACAGGGGCATAAAACGAATGTCACACTGTCTAAAACTATATGAAATGATAATAGAAAAAAGATTAAGAGACATAATCGAAATAGGAGAGACTCAGTTTGGCTTTATTCCTGAAAGATCAACAACTGATGCTATCCTCGCAATTAGGCAAATGAGTGAAAATGAATAGAACAAAAAGCTACATATGGTCTTTCTCGATCTAGAAAAGGCCATCATATTGAATCCCAAGAAAACTTATCTGGTGGGAGCTACGCCACAAAAAGGTTCCGAAAAATATATAAGATTAATACAGGATATGTATATAGACCATACAACATTGGTCCGTAGCACAATAGGTACTACAGCAGGCTTCACAATAGCCGAAAGAGTTCATCAAAGGTCGGCTCTCAGTCCACTTCTCTTCATTAAAGTAATAGATGATTAGCACAGTCTATACCTCAAACTGTCCTGTGGAATATGAAATTTGCAGATGATATTGTGATACTTGCCGAATCTAAGGATGAAATGAAAGAAAGATTAGTGAGTTAGATAAATATCATAGAAACGCACTGATTAAAAGTAAATAGAGAAAAGACGGAGTATATGGTGATAGGAGGAGATGAAATAGAGAGTTTTGATATAAATGAATGGCAGATATCGGCAATTGAAAGCTGCAAATATTTGGGCTCCACTATACAAACAAACGGCACAATAGAAAAGGAGATAAAGAGTAAGATTAATTAAGGGTAGTTAAAGTGGAGATCTTTATCTGGAGTGCTATTTGACAAAAAAATCCCACACAAATTAAAGGGAAAAATTTACAGTTCCATAGTACAACCAACTATTCTGTATAGTTCGGAAACATGGCCAATCAAAAAATCAGACGTGAGAAGCCTACAAACTATGGAGATGAGAATGCTGAGGATGATTGCTGAGGTAACATGAAAAGATAAAGTGCACAGTACAAGAATACCAAGTAGTTTAAAGGTAGTACCCATTAAGACTAAGTTAATGGTAAACAGACTTAGGAGGTATGGGCACACAATGAGAAGGCTTATGAACTACAAAGGAAATAAAGTTGAGAGTTTGGAAATGATTGGCAAATGTAAAAGAGGAAGGCCAAAACTTCAATGGGACCATAAAGGTTAGAGCCAACATGAAGAAATATAATTTAGATAAAATATGTATGAATAACATAAAGTGGAGAGAGATGTTGAAGGAGCTTACCACCAGAAAAGATGAAAGCTAAAGAGAAAAAAAATAAAATAAAATGGCTACAAATGCATTGAAACCATAAATTCGTCAATTCTTAAAGTGTAAACAATTCTATTATTTTCAAATATTTCATATCTTCGTCACTTATTTCTTTTCTATTTGTTTCGTCTTAGATTCATTATTATTTTTTCTTAACTTTGCACCCCTATAATTTATCCCCCACCTTCGTGCAATGGTGAGCGATAAGCAATGCTGATAAACGGGAACTCTGGTGTTAATGATAGGGAATATTTTTTTCTTACTCCTTTATTTGATGATGGTTAAATCAGAAATTTCCCATTTATTTTTATTATTTTATGATGTATCCATCATGAAATAAAGGGAATATTCGGATTTAGACATCATCAAATTTAGGATAAAATTCTGCTGATTCCCCATCATTCTTGATGGGCCTTCCGCAATTTATGGGAAAGCGAATGAATATAAAATCGAAATTCAAAGATTGGATTAATTATATAGTGCTTTAGCAATTTGGGAAAATAATATATGTTATATTAAGCATAAAAATAAATATATTTTTGAATTTATTAAATTGCATACCAATTTTGAAACTTTTTGTTGATCTTTCTAATCTATAATTATTTTTAAAAAAATATAATAAATCAAATAAAATTTCCCATAATAATTATTTTTTCTGTGAATATTAAAATTGGAAATTCAATTAAATTGCCAAAAATGTATTTCTGAAATTTTCAAAACTTTTTTTATTAGGGTTTCTTAAAGTTTTAAACTTTTGAAACAGATTTTAGACGCGATCTAACTAAAAATATTGTATTTTTTTTATTAGCATTATTATAAAATGATAACATAATGTTAAAAAGGATAGTATTAAAACGTGATTCTAAATTTATTTTAATAAAATTTATTTTAAAATCTGTCATTCAAAATTCTCATTCTCTAAGATAATTAAAATATATTTATTAAAATTAAATATAGAAGCCCCCCTCCTTCCAATTCCTTTGATATCATCTCATTAGTTCATATTTTTCTTGTTAAAAATTTCTGAAATTGCTCTTCTAAAGTAAATATATTATATATCAAAAATATAAATAATCTTATCATCAAATCTTTTACCTCTATTTGAAATTTCTTCTTTATAGAGCTATATTGGGATAAAGGCCTAAATACCATTTAATTTAATATTGGATGCCAATAT